GTTTGTTTTTTTTGTAATCCATGATCGAATTTTATGTAATCCATGATCGAATTTTTTGTAATCCATGATTGAATTTTTTGAAAATTTGTGATTTTTTTTTTAATCCATGATCGAATGTTTTTTTGTAATCCATGATAGAATTTTTTGAAACTTTGTGATTTTTTTTTTTAATTCATGATCGAATTTTTCTTTGTAATCCATGATAGAATTTTTTGAAAATTTGTGATTTTTTTTTTTAATCTATGATTGATTTTTTTAAAATTTGTGATTTTTTTTTTTAATCTATGATTGATTTTTTTAAAAATTTGTTATTATTATTTTTTAATCCATATTATTCAAAGAGAAAATGAGAGAGATGATGATTATGAGGCCACCCTATCCCAGCCATATTATTCACATATCGAGTCCCAACAGCAACAGTGTAGGGATGAGCACGACAGTGCAGGTGAGCATGAAGGATGGACAATCTTGGGGGATTTTAGATTGGGAACACAACAAAACACTAAAACTCAGGGATTTGGGAATAGTCAGACGCCTGCTAATATCGATGATTCGTTTTTAGATCGAATCAATGAATTGTTAAACAAATTCAATCAATGGCACCAACGTGACCAAAAAGAACAATAACGTCGTCTATCATTTTATTTTTAGATCATATGTTACTAATTTTATGCTTTATTGTAGTCCATGTATGTTGATATACTTATTCCATGATAATTCTATATTTATCCTTTTGTGTGATGTAAATTAAATGCTGAATGGCGGTTCATGCAGGGAAAGAACATATCAATATTCGCATATTCATTCAAAAACATGAAAATTCTTAATGGAGTACCCTCATTTCTTATTGAATTCTTAAAAAAAAATATTTATAATGAATTTTAATAATTTTTTCAGATTTTTTTTAAGCTTTATTGACTGATTCACCCGATTTTCGATCCGGATCGCCGATTCGCCGATCCAGATCGGTTTTTTGGAAGCCCGATCCCGGTCACCGATCCGTTTTTTAAACCATTGCATATAATATATAATCAATATATACTATATAAATATAAAAAATAAATAAATAATATAATATTATAAATTATAATATTTTATTATAGTAATATTATATTATATTAATAATATTAATATTATGTATTTATATTATGTACAATGATTAAGAGCTTAATATTTCACTTTTTAACAAAAGAACATGAACTTTTGTTGAAAGATTAGTTTTTGAATTTTTTATGAAAAAGTGTGAAACAAACACATCACTTTTTCAAAATCTGAAAAAATACTTTCAAAAAAACAAACACACCTTAAAAAAAAAACACTACAAGGAGCCGAAAGCAGAGAAGCATGTCAAGTTGTTGACGATGTTCTTATCCCGACTCTACTCCTTGAAAAATATCTTGCTTAGGGTTATGAAGGGATCGATCCGAGGTTTTAAGATCGAGGCAAATCTGCTGGCTAAGATAAGATAATCACATCGTCAGGCACTTCTCTCTCCTCTTCTTTTGTCTCCCATCCTTGTTCTCCTGTACTCCCTTTGTTTCTTCTTGCTTTCTTATATTGGACTTCTATTATCGTTAATGAATCTCGTATTTTTTCAAAAAAGTAAAAAATAAAATCCCCTGTACTCTCTTTGTTTCTTCTTGCTTTCTTATATTGGATTTTTATTATCTTAATGAATCTCGCATTTTTTCAAAGAAGTAAAAAATAAAATAAATAAATACCATAACGAGGGGTCATCATCTTAATGAATCTCGTATTTTTTCAAAAAAGTAAAAAATAAAATAAATAAATACCATAACGAAGGGTCTTATGTGTAGCACATTTGAATGCACGGGGGTTTTATCCAATTTTCAAGCTTCCTCTCCTCCCCTTAAATCTAAAACTTAAACCTTTGCGATCGTCAGGTGTAGGTTTCGAAACTGGAACGTGGTCTTGAATTCCCTAAGAATGTAACCAATCAAACCCCTGCTCTCTCTCTCTCTCTCTCTCTCTAAAAATGTAACCCCTCTCCCTCTCTAAAAAATGTAACCCCACTGCGCGCTCTCTCTCTCCTCCCTGTTAACCTCGCGCTCCATTTGCCAATCTTCTCTCTCACTCCCAGTCTACTGCAATCCAGGTCTCTTTTCTTCTTGGCAATTCATGTATTTTCCCTGAGTGCAAGCTTTCTCTATGTAGGCCAAACACCACAAGGTGCATTGTCTCTCTCTCTAGAAGGATTGGGGCAATATGATGATCGATCTGGGTCCATTCTCAGAGGAAAAATTCGACCCCAAGAAATGGATCAACGCTGCTTGCCAGGCAAAACACCCACAAGACTCCATGGACAAGCACCTTGCAGAGCTTGAGATGAAGCTTCAGGTCATCTCTGAAGAGATCTCTTCTTCCCTTGACGAACTAAGCGCTTCTGCTTTGCTTCGAATCCCTCGCGCAAGCCGTGATGTTGTTCGCCTTCGCGATGATGCCATTTCTCTCAGATCTGCAATTTCAGGGATTTTGCAGAAGCTTGAGAAGGTAATTATGGCATCCCTACCTTTTTTTTTTTTTGGGTTTGTTAATTCCCTTTTTTTGTTACTTGGTGTTGATTTTTGTTTTTTTTGGGGTTTATGCGTTATTGGTTTCATGTTTATTGGATACTTTACCCTTCATTTCTGTTGGTTTACATACTTTGAATAGGGATTTCACCAATGGGTAAGTTAGGCTATTGCTTCATAGTTTCTGTGTTTTTTTCTTTTTTTTGTTTCTGTTAAGTTGGTTTCAAATTATCGTCATTGTGCTCATTGAATAATTCATCGAATTTTTTATTGAATAAGTCTTACTAGTTAATTTGGTTATTTTGAAATGATAGTTGAGTAATTGCTGAAATAGTAATTGGGTTTTTGGAACCATGAATTACTTTTCATTGCCTCATTCATTTTGTTGTTATAGGTTACTTCTAGAGAATTATGATTATACCATTGTTAAATCAGGACTTGGGTTTCTGGACTATTGTTAATTCCCTCGATTAAGTCATTTCCATTGAATAATTCCCCTATTTTGCTTATGCTGAGTTGTTTTTACAATATCGATTTGAGCAATTGTGAAATTTTGAATTGGGGTTGCTTCGTTGACATTTACTGTATTGTTTATTATGTTTAACCAATTGGCATTTTGAGCCATTTGTTTTTGCTTTTAAAAAAAAAATGCGAGAAAAATGATGCGTTTCAAGCTACATTTTGCGTGAAATTATTTGATTGAGTTCATTGATTTACTTACTGGTATTTCTTGTAGATATTTTGTAACATATGGTGTCGATTGAAGAAAGTCATAAGCATGGCGCAATTTGATGGATTTGGGTCAAATACTAAGCCTTTTTGTTTTTCCCTTTTTTCTTTTTTTCTTTATGTTCATGACGTACAAATTAATTAATGGCAGACTTCTTAACAAAAATAATGGGGCATACCATCCCCTGTGCACCTTGACCTTAATGGGCTGTTAATGTATTTCTAACTTTATTTCAAAACAAGCACAATAAGTTGGTTCATGATGACCAGCTCTAAATTATGTCCCCATTATGTTAATGCACAAAATATATTCCTTCTAGGTACGAATCGAACGTGGGAAGCCCCAACCTATGGCCTTTCATATCATTGTGCGAGCAAGTCAATGATTCTAGTAATATGCTATATAGGGATTGGTCTCTTATTTTGTACTTAATGGGGTTCAAATTCTTCATTTCTATCATTGTCATACTTATATAGTGCCTTTTTGTGTTACTTATCTGTAAAAAGGGGGGGGGGGGATGCCAAAGCAAATTACTGGTCCTTTCATTCTAGCAACCTGCTTAAGATTTTTCTTATTCAAGTACCTGTATATTGGAAATTGAGTTTTCATGTATCAAGAAATGTTGGCCCCTCATTCAGTACTCAAATAAGCATGTGTCTTTCATGATGATTGTTTATGTAGAATTTCTTGTATTTGTCTTTCTCTGTGTTTCATCTATTTCACTCGCCCCTAGGCAGAAGGGTCCTCGGCAGAGTCAATTGCGGCACTTGCGAAAGTTGATATTGTTAAGCAACGCATGGAGGCAGCTTATGAGACACTGCAGGTACCTTTTCTTTCTCCTAAATTGCTTTGTACATAAGTTTTGATTTGGTTTAGGATATGGCTTTCTTCCTTATTCAATGAAAGCCTAGATGTAGATATCCTATTTGACTTTTGGTATTGCATATGTAGGATGCTGCAGGACTGACTCAATTAAGTGCAAGTGTGGAGGATGTATTTGCAAGTGGAGATCTTCCAAGGGCTGCAGAAACTTTGGCAAATATGAGGCATTGCTTATCTGTAGTTGGTGAGGTCAGTAGCTCTCCTATAGTGTCTCATTGGATCTTACATATCTGCAGTTCTATATGCTGGATATTTAATGTTGGGTTTTTCATAGATTAGAAATTATTTTGTTTCCTTTTTTTTGGATAATTAACTTTATTGATGTAGAGTGAAGTAGTAAAAAAGAAGCATTACATGTTAAACAGTGTTTGATTAGAGTCACTTTGAATGTGTGTCTCAGGTTGCAGAGTTTGCCAATGTGAGAAAGCAACTTGAGGTGTTAGAGGATAGGTTAGAAGGAATGGTTCAGCCTCGTCTATCAGATGCCCTGTCTCATCGCAAGGTCTGTATATGAAATTGTGCTAATTGTTATGTTAATACGACATGTGCTCATGTCATCTACTGTTGAAAGTATGGAATGAGTAGTCTTTTACAGTTCATCTTGATGTCTATATGTTTGCCATAACTAAGTGCATATACACAAATACACGCATGCATGTTTGCATGCATGCATACACATACACATATATACAATTTTTTATGGCTAATTATCTGTATGTGCAAGTGGTTTGACTTTGGTGGTCATCTGATTGTAAACGTGAACACATGAACATGTAGGTCGATGCTGTCCATGATTTATGGGATATCCTTATTCGGATTGGTCGGTTCAAGTCCATAGAGCTAAACTATATTAAGATTCATTTGAAGCCTATTCGCAACCTTTGGGAAGGCTTTGAAGTGAGAAAGGGATCAGATATGTTGGTAACTGAAAAGCATGTGGGAGAGAAGAATGTGTCTTCGTTCTCTAGTTGGTTACCAAGTTTCTTCGATGAAGTTCTGCTTTATCTTGAGCAAGAATGGAAGTGGTATGTAGATAACCTTTTTTTTCTCGTGGGGAGTTTTTTTTCCAAGCAAAGAAATCATGATATATGATACTATTATCTAAATTTAATATCATATCCATCCTTTGATTATTATGAAACAATTCATTTATCATCTCACATATTGATAGAGTTGTGTATTAGTGCAATTTATCATTTTTGTGGGGAAATTTTGTTAGCTTTTCTAGGCACTTGATCTTTGATTGACCTTGTCTGCTTTGTGGCTTTTGTGGATAAGATATTGTCATATCATTTTATTGGCAATTTATAGAGTACTATAAGTATTTAACTCAATGAGATGCTAATATGTTCATTTGTTGTGTGGAATGTTGTCTATTGGGAACTTCCCATATGTCTTCAAGAGAAATTGAAGTTATTTGATTTGTTTCTATTTTCTTTTGATTGTGGAGGATTATAATTTTGGGAAAATATATTTTAACCCCCAATTGACTGTGGGTACATTGAATTATAGCATACTTTCCTTATAATGTTCAGTAGCAGCTAGAGCATGGAAGTAACATTGCAGTTTTTTTTGAGTTATCTTTGCTTATTTCTTGCTCATCCTAAGAGTAGCATCACACCCATTTGCTTGCAGGTGTATGGTTCCTTTCCCTGATGATTATAAGACTCTTGTCCCAAAGTTATTAATTGAGATCATGTCTACATTGAGTGCAAGTTTTGTTACTCGTATTAATATTGCGACTGGGGAGGCTGTAGCAGAGACGAGGACATTGGCAACAGGTTATATAAATTGAGATCTTAGATTGATTTTCTTCATTTTATTGATGAATATATAAGCCTCTAGTTCACAATGCTTTCTAGTACTTATAAACAAATTTTTAGTTACTTCTCCATCTTACTGTATTGGGAAATGTATCAAAATACACCTACAGAGATGAGCTATTTAACATCTTCCCCATATCTTTGGATTTAATTTTAAAAATCCCATCAAATAGTACATAATCATGAGTTGGAATAATTGAAAATGGGTAAAATGGTAAATAGTTGATAAGTTAGGTGTATTTTGATAAATTTCCCTGTTATATCTTCTTATCCTTCTTAGTCATTTAACACTAAAGCAAGCAAGAGAGTAAATGTACATATATGCACAAGCATAATGCAATAGGGGGACAGTATACAATATTTGTTAATCTAACGTTTTGAGCATAAAGCAACTGTTTTTCATCGGTAAGCTTCCTTTAATAAAATTGATGGTTGCCCAGGATTTCTTTTGTGAGTCCATGAAACACTGTAATACTATTTGTAGAGGAATCGGAAAATGAATTTTACAATGGGATAATTTATTGCAAATATTGTTCTCGTGACTCATGTACAAAACTTCAATGTATTTCAGGTGTGTTAGACATATTATCTGGTGATACGTCAAAAGGAACTAAGCTACAGACAAAGCATTTTGAGAGTTTGATTGAACTTCACAACATGACGGGTGCTTTCGCAAGAAATGTCCAACATTTGTTTTCAGCATGTGACCTACAAGTTTTGGTTAACGTGCTAAAGGCTGTCTACTCTCCATATGATACCTTTAAACAAAGGTAAACTCTTGATAATAGTATGTGCGTGACTGCTTATGTGCATGCTTCTTGATAGAAAGCATAAGGATGTTCCTTTCATCTTCTTTGAAACAACTTAGTATTTTCTATTTGAGGTCGCTTTCTCAATGCTTGTGGTCTCAAAACAATGAACCAATTATTAAGTTGAAGTTCGATGGCAATACCAAACTATGTAAACTAAGGACTGGATGAACAGATTACTGCTGAAGTGTCGCAAACAACATTTTAATATGAGCTTGTAAATACCCTTAGTGGAAATACAAAAGTATGAAATAATGGAAATACAAAAGTAATGAATAATAGTTTTTTTACTTTTACAATGCACATCTCATCTAGTATGAGGGACCAAACAACTGCTCTCCATTCCCCCATATGGGAATGGTGGAGTGCACCTTTAATGCTTGTTTCGTTTTTTATATTAGTAATTTAGTGTTCTTTGTGACTTTTTTTTTTTAAAAAATGTTTTATAATATTATGATTTTTATACTTCCAATATTTTTGGTTGCTAGGAAAAGCTTTAAGAGCAATTTTGATAATCCAAGGACTTTTTTTTGGGGGGACTTTTCATGGTCTTTTGTCAATAATCATGTGCAAACTCTCCATCTTGTTTTGTTTTCTAATTATTTGGGAACTTCTGATTTGTAGGTACGGGCAGATGGAGCGTGCTATACTTTCTTCTGAGATTGCAAGAATTGACCTTAGGGGAGCTGTTTCTCGTGGTGTGGGTGCACAGGGCATCGAACTTAGTGAGACAGTTCGAAGAATGGAAGAGTCCATTCCCCAAGTCGTTGTTTTTCTTGAAGCAGCTGTAGAGAGATGTATAAGCTTTACTGGGGGTTCGGAAGCTGAGGAACTTCTTCGTACCATCGATGACATCATGCTTCAATACCTATCGACCCTCCAAGAAACCCTAAAATCCTTGAGGTCAATATGTGGCGTTGATAATCTATCCCATGGTGATGGAGTTGGGCAGAAGGACATGGGTCCAGAGAGAAAAGAGAGCATGCATAATTCTCGAATCCTTGATATGGTTTCGGATGAGGAGGAATGGTCTATTGTCCAGGGAGCATTGCAGATTCTTACTGTCGCTGATTGCTTGTCAAGCAGATCCTCTGTCTTTGAAGCTTCCTTGAGGGCTACTTTAGCAAGGTTTAGCACTAGTTTCTCACTTTCCATCTTTGGTACAAGTCTAGATCAATCTCATAAGGCAGATACTGAAACCCCTGGGAATAGAGAGTTAGTGGGAAGGGCAGCCCTCGATGTGGCAGCTCTGCGCCTTACTGACGCACCCGAGAAGGCTAGAAGGATTTTTAACCTTTTTGAACAGGTAAAATGATCCTCTCCTCTCTCGCTTAGTTAATATACTTGCCGACCACACTGTCATCAATCACTTTATGAGAATCAAACCTGATTTACACAGCTGGTTTGGAGTTGGTTATAACTCTCATAGCTTTAGTTTCTAGATATGACCATACAATGATATACTTATATACGTACCGATAAAAAAATACAGTCTGAATGCACCATATACATCTTCATTGAGAAATTTATGTAGCCCCTATGAAGAGGGATTCCTTCTTAACTGCATTATAATGAAGAGGGTGTTTGCCAGGGTAGTAGCTGCTCTGAGCACATGTGCTTAACATATAGAGGCCCTCTTCCCAAATCTAAAAGTCCGGTCTCCACTTGTAATATACTCCAGGACCATCTTATGACATTATACTCCAGGACCATCTTATGACATTGAGTACCCTCTAACTCCTTTTCCCTTGGTCTAAAGTTCTCATCTATTATATTATCTAGTTTTTGCTTGTAATATGATTATCCTTTTGAGGCCATCTTTTTACAATGGATAGTTACCCTCTAAAACCAAGGGGCCTAGAAAAATTAAAAATATAAGAGTCAAATTGAGGGTTTTGCCCGTCTCAGTGCCAACTAGCTTGCTAGAAATCAGGCAACACCTTTAACTCCAACTGAGCTTAGATCCCCAAAAGTAACCATGAAAAGCGAGCTTAATGGACTCCATTGAAAGTTTATATTTCTTAATTTTGTGACTGAACTATAGTGATTTTTTATTGTTTATATATGGATCCATCAAATCTTGAGCATTGCCTTTTCCCTATTTTTCAGTCAAAAGACCCAAGATTCCATGCACTCCCTCTCTCATCTCAAAGGGTGTCGGCCTTCTCAGAGGCTGTCAATGAGCTAGTGTACGATGTTTTAATATCAAAAGTGAGGCAACGGTTGAGTGACGTTGCTAAGCTCCCTGTCTGGTCATCAGTGGAGGAGACAGTGAGCCACAAAATGCCAAGCTTTAGCGCTTATCCTCAGGCCTATGTGACTAGTGTTGGGGAGTACCTCCTCACCCTGCCTCAGCAATTAGAGCCATTGGCCGAAGGGATCTCCAACTCTGAATCCAATGCTGATGAGTCCCAGTTCTTTGCAACTGAATGGATGTTTAAGGTGTGAGAAGTAATTTTTTCATTCCTCTTTTGTGTTTGCTCTTCTTACGTTAAATTTATTGGGGAATTTGTTTGGTCAAGGTAAGAGTATGGCCATCGGAGCTATCACCATCCCTTCAATAGGTTAGACTGTGATGAAGGACGGGTCCTACCAGTCATGTCTTTAATTCAATTGTACAACCTACTCTCCCCCCATCAGTGTCCAACCCATTGATTGGAGGATAGTAGTCACTAGTGGCCATGCTGTTATCATCATCATATGGGATCATGCTATACTTTTTTTTTTTTTTGCTTCTTTTGTTTTTTCGAGAGAGATCTGGGAGAAGAGTAACGAGAGGGAGAGATCAATCTTGGAGAAGAGTAACGGGAGAGAGAGAGAGAGAGAGAGAGAGAGAGAGAGAGAGAGATCTGGGAGATGAGTAACATCACTCCTCTTCCAAAATGATTTGATATGTTCTTCTTTGAAAGCCCCGCCTCAGGGAGCTTGGGCAGATGTTGCAATTCTTATTGAAATGGGTGGTACTTTGGTGTTATTGATTGGAATAGTAACATTTTCTTGTTTCCCATCTCCTTTTCTAATTTTCAGTTAGTGTGCTATAAAAGGCGTTTCCAGAGGGTGCCTTATCCTATTACTTTGGAGTTTGATGGGATCCAGTTGCTGCTTGCCTTTTCTACCACACTCACTTCTCCTTTTTCATTAAATTCAGTCCTTTTTTTTTCATAATATTAAAATCTTTCCCTTTAATCCATTTATTTATTAATCTAATCGTTTGGTGGTAATTTAGGTTGTGATCCTTGTACATTACTGGCATGAGCAGCATGTGTATGAGTTTCAATAGCTCGAATGCATTAACTGCTTGTTTAGTCACACTTCATATTCTCTTTTTTTAAATGCAAACACTTCATCTTCTCTTTTTTTAAATGCAAACACTTCATATTATTTTTATTGCATACATATACTCATTTTTTCCATAATATATGTGATTGTTGGTTATTTAGGTTGCAGAAGGGGCCACTGCATTATACATAGAGCAATTGAGGGGGATTCAGTATATTACTGACCGGGGGGCTCAGCAGCTATCAGCTGACATTGAGTACCTGAGTAATGTGCTCTCTGCTCTCTCCATGCCTGTCGCTCCTTTCTTGTCCACCTTCCATACCTGCCTTTTGACCCAAAGGGACCAGCTTCGTGATCTCGTAAAGTCGGATGGTGGGAATCAGCTCGATTTGCCAACTGCACGTCTCCTATGTAAGATGCGGCGAGTCTCACTGGATTAGTGATTTGCAGACACACACACTCTCTCTCATATTATCATTCTGTGTGAACCACAAAGTCAATCCAAAATCCCTTTAGTTGTATTGTAATTTGAACGTGTATACTGTACTGTGGGAGTACATTTTTTACTTACCCCGCAGGCCCTAGTTATGGGGATTTTTTTATCTGAAATTTTGAGATCCACTTTATTTATACCAATGAGTATTTCCAAGGAGACAAATTGGATTTTGATGATTAAGCTCAAGAAATGGGTGAGGATTGCGAAATCTAGCAAAAATCGTTGTAAAAACAATGTTTTTTCATGATTTAGCATGAAACAAGTTAAATGATCGACTATTCTAGGCGGCTTCTCACTATTTCAGAGAAAGAATGAATGGGGCAAGATAAAAAGTAAAGAAGAAAAGAAGGGAAAAAAAAAGCCTTAATGCTCAAGGCCTTCTGGGTTCACTCCTGCGAATCATTTGGCTACAAATCCCAAATGCTTTCAGATCTGAACATTGGTAGAACCTTAAGTTCCCTACAGGTGACCTCAGTGACAATTATCAGCGATAATATAAGTTCAGTGTATTTTTTATGCAAAAAAAAGTGTATTTTTCTCACGATATTTTGGGATGGCAATAATACCTGTGATATTATGCAAATAATAATAATGTGATATCATGCGAATTAAGCTTCACAATAATAAGGGGATTCATTTAATTCCCAACCTGCCTAAAAATACATTTATATCATATAAAATGATTTACATTTAACTCTCAAGTGGAAGTTCATTTTTCTAGTCGCTACTTGCTATAAAAAGAGGATTTTCTTGAGATTTAAATTAGAAGAGTTGAGGAGCTGTTTTTATTTTGTGGTTTTGCAAATAGACTTTTATTTCACTCTAATTTGTTTTTTTGTTTCATTGCCTACAATAAACTAATGGGGAGGTATACAAAGAGGCCATTTATTTGTAAGTCATAATCATTCTTGTCCGTTAGATTTCAAATCTGGTGGTCGTGAGGGTGTCATTGACTAATCTCGAACTTTGTATCCCCCCAAGCCATCCAAATTGACATCTAATAGCCAATAGCAATTGTGATGTCCTTAAAACAAAGATAAATAGTTTCACAAAATACAATCCCTAAACTAATAGCCCAATGCCTTCCGACCATAGTTTAGGGTAAAAAGCAGACACGTTCTCATGTTTACCAATTTGCATGCCTTTTCACATTCTATTGTCTATTATGCTATAGAGTTAAAAATACTATATATAATGTTAGCCGGTCAAAAAACAACACGCATATAGAATAAGGGTAGCAGACATGAGAATGTTGAGATGGATGAGTGGCAAGATGAGAAGGGATAGAATTCAAAATGAATACATTAAAGAGAATTTAGGTGTGACATCGATAAATGATAAAAGTAGACTTAGGTAGGCTGATCATGTGCGACTTAGACTCAGTACAACACCTGTTAGGATGTGCGAGTTAGATCAAGTAGAAAGCTCATAAAGGGCAAGGGGCAGACCCAAACGGGCATGGTTATAAGTAGTGAGAAAAGATATGATGCCTTATGGCCTTATTGAGGGTATGATATTTAATAGAGTAGAATGACGGACCTGGATTCTTGTAGGCATCCCTAGTTAGTTAAAAAAACGCTTTGATGATGATGATGATAAAAGTTTGTACACCACTACTCGACTCAATAAGGTGAAAAAAAAAAAGCTTTAGAGATAGTAACCTCTACAACCTAGCAACCAACCTTAAAAAGAAAGAAGATAATTTCAAGCCACTCTAAAATTATAATGTCCTAAAGTTTCAACAAATATGGTCAAACTTTTAAATAATCAATTCTACATGTTTAACAGCTTAAAATCCTTTTTTTTTTCCAAAATAAAATATGAATCTTAAATGAAACCAAATTTTTATATTAAATATCCTCTTGAGCAGTCATTTTTGGAAAAAGTTTATTCAGAGCCGAGGCTCTAAACAATCAAATTCAGAGCTGAGGGAAAAAAAGTATTTTCAGCATTTTATAACACATTTTTGGACCGTTGATGTACAAGATTTTCATAGATCTGCTTAATCTACACTATTTTTTAAGCTTTAAATTTTATAATTAAATATAAAAATATATTTTAAAACTATCACCAAGATTTCCAATATTGAAACCATATTTCTTGACACTATTTGAAAGTGCGTTTTACTTTGATTGTTTAGCCAACATTTTTTTTGGCCAAAGAGAATAAATCCAGTGTTCAAATCTATTCCCATTGTCTAATCCATTGAATTATCATAATTGAATTAGTTTCTTTAAACCGCTTAAGATTAAAAGGGGGTGTAGCTCAGATGGTAGAGCGCTCGCTTAGCATGCGAGAGGTACGGGGATCGATACCCCGCATCTCCATTTCAAAAGTACCATAAAAGGATGAATATATATAAGTCTTTTTTAATGAATTTTACTTTTTAAATTTTAGAGGAAAGAAAACGTTATGTTCAATATAAAATGATGAATATATATTTTAAATATTAATTTTTCTAATGAACTTTATTTTACTTTTTAAATTTTAGACGACAGAAAACGTATGTTGAATATTGGAAATTGAAGAATAAGCATATAATTTTTTAAGATAAAAGCAGAAAAAAAATAAAGAATAATTACATGCACTTTTAGAGGCAACATTGATGATGAATTAGCATATAAGGCTAACAAATCAAGGTGCATCCCAAAATTTCATATTTACCCAAAAAAAAACTCAAAAAATCATCAAGAAAGGATGTTTTGATACTACTAAATTATCTAATTGATCATCCCGACATCAAGATGTATAGGTATAAAAAGAAAAAATGATTTTAAGTCCTAAAAATAGCACGTCTTATAAGATACAATCTAGACCATCTATTTTCAAGATATGCATGTGCTTACTATAGATTGCTTGATTTGAACTATATTTGGAATTTAAAATTTTGTATTAGAGATGAAAATAGATTCTCAGGAACCCTAAGATGAGAATAGATTCTTGGGCACCCTAAGATATGATCTAGACCATCTATTTTCAAGTGTGCTTTTGATTGTTTAAGGTTGTAACCTTATTTATGCAAACAACACTTTTTATTATAATGCACTCATATTTAATCAATTTTATATAGATACGGTTTCTATGAGTCCACAAACTCGCATGTAGAAATGTGGGCCCCTTAATAATTTATTTTCAAATAGAATTTGATCTTAATTTTTAGGGAATATATAATCTTTAACATGGAGATTATTAATCTATAAAAATAAATTAATTTTAAAAACTAGAAATAATATTTTTTGGAGACAATATTTGAACCATTGATGGAGAAAATATTTGAACCATTGATGGAGAAAATATTTGAACCATTGATTTTACTTTTTCTTTGGAGGACTATTATTTACGGGACCCAATTTTGGTGGATGGTGTAGATCTCTGAGCCTGCTTAGTAACAGGTGCGGGCTTGGAGGCACCGAACAATTTTTCATTTTACCTTTTTTATACCATTTCAACTCAAAATTATACGCATTTCAAAATTAAATCAAAACAAGTGGGTAAAATGTTCAATAATTAATATCCTGAGTTCAATTTGATAAATTTCAATTTAATAAATCTCTATGTTTTGCTTCAACAAAATATTATATTTTGATTCCTCTAGGAATATAATCCAATTCAAACATAGAATTCATGAGATTGATCATGTACATTTACTTTCTTTAGCAAAAGAGCTACTGGGTGAGGATTTTTTTTGTTTAAAATTTTGGGATCCATATGAGAATAACTAAATAATTATTTCAAAAAATTGAATTATGAATTTTTAACACTTGAGATTTTTTTCTATTTTATCCAATTTCAACGCTCAGATCTTATTGTCAAGAAATTGGACTATCTTTTTGAATATTGGGATCTTATTGTTTGGAATCTCAGGACATCATTTATTTTTTGAGGCACACACAAAATGTGATATGAATTTTTTTTGTTTGATTGTAAGGTTTAAGAGATTACATCCCTTCCTATTGTAGGATCAGGTCTCAAAGAAATAAGATTCTACAACTAAGAATTCATTGATTTTCAAACCGATCCATTTAGAAACTTAGATTTGGTAGACTAATACTTTGCCATGGCAAAATTGTTCAAAAGAAATGCTTCAAAACCTAGAGATAAGAATTGGAAACTGTCAATCCAGACTGGGAATTAGTTGAGTTCAAACGAGTGCTGAGAAGATATTGTACCGGCTCGTACCATCTCCACCCCCAAAACTAAAAAAAGAAATTTCTTTTGTTTAAATATCTAAGTTTTTCTTTTGTTCTACTGAATATCTTTCCTCATAATTCCTATTTTAAACTTTTTTTTTTTTACATTTTCTAGATCACCAATTCTAACTGTTCTAAATCGATGATCCACCTCATTAACTCAGGTTTCGAAACACGTTCAAAACGTTGCATCCTCAAAATTTGAAGTCGTACAAATACTCTTAGGTTTTAGCTAAGATAACAAATAGAAATTATAGTCATATGGGAGCAAGATAGAGGAAATTTTGAAATGAAATAAAGGAGAATGAGAGAACCATGATGGTTTATTTCTTTATGATATTATTTTATGTGAACCATCAAGGGATCAAACTTATGATATACACCATGAAGCTGTAGGAGAGTGATTGAGCAACGATTAATGCATTAAACGAGTGTACCAGAAAACCAATTCGGTTTTACGTCAAGGAGGCCAACAACTTACGCTATTTTCCAACTTAGGTAACTGATTGAGAAGTTTAGGTTAAAGGAAAAAGACCTCAACATGATCTTTATTGATCTAGAAAATAAGTATTGGAAAGTAAGAGTATTCAAACAACTATATCAACTTGGTGCTTGGTGAGAGATATGTTTAAGGGAGTGTTAGTTAGTGTACGAACAACTAGTAGAGAGTCAAGTGAGGTTTTAGTGGCAATAGATCTACATCAAGGGTCAGAATTGAGCTCATACCTCTTTGTTTTAGTTATTGACGACTTAACTAGGTACCTATTAGATGAGGTGCATGTTATTCGCAGATGGAATAGTTTTGATTGATGTGATCCAAAACGACATCAACACAAAGTTACAATTTGGAGGCATGCTCTAGAATTTAAAGGTTTTCAAATTAGCAGAACTAAGAAAAAGTATATAGAATCCAAATTTAGTAATAATAGGAGTAAAGACGAGGAAGTAGTTAAGATTGACGACCAAGAAATACCAAAAAGA